ATTTTCACCTATTTTCATAGCATTAATAAATTAATCAAAACCAAATTTACCTGATAAATTAAGAATTGATCATTCATCCCTGTGTTAAGAACTACCTTCAATTTGACATTAGCCTTTTAAGTTTGGTTCACGCCCCTATCCATTAACATGGAGGAGACCGGGTTTATGACCCATTTTCTTTCTTTCCATCTTTCTTTCCTTCCTTCCCACCTACCGTCCCTACTGCCTGTCTGTTAAGGGAATCAGTCTTAGTGCTGTCATTTGTAGTTTTTTATTGAAAGTAATGATAGATATATAATTTTTTATTGGGAACTCCATAAATATAAAAAAGATTATGATTTTAAGTTAAATCATTTCTCCTTTTTTTACCGAGATGATACTTGTGTTAAATGGTTGGGGGGAAAATTATCAGGGGACGTCACAGGTGGATTTCTTCATTAACACCTTCCGGAGATGGAAATTAAATGTTAAACGCAGATCAGTGCCAATCAAATTTTAATTTCCTGTCATCCGGGGCCTCACACTGTTATCTGTGATCCCAGTCCAATCTATTATCACGAGCCAAGGCTCTGTGAGAGAGTGATGGCAAATCAATTACTATTCCGACAGATATAGTAAGTGTAATAAAGACACTCTGGAATATGTGGAAAACAGCCCACTGTATAATGTCTGGCAGAATATTGTCCACTAGAAGTTAAAGGGATGAACACTTTCAGTTTTGCTGCACTAATTTGATTTCACACTGTCAGTCGTCCGTGTTCCAACAGATCAACAGGATGTTAATCAGGAGGTCTCCACAGGTCTTCATGTCAAGGACCACAATTAAAATTGATGAACAATATGAAGCCGTTTCTGCTGTGATTCAATTCAATTCAATTTTATTTGTATACCACCAAATCATAATATACATTATCTCAAGGCACTTTACATAGAAGGTCAAGACCTTAAAATCGTATTTAATATAGAGAAACCCAACAGTACCCACAATGAGCAGCACTTTGGCGACTGTGCAGAGAAAAAACTCCCTTGTTAACAGGAAGAAACCTCCAGCAGAACCAGGCTCAATATGGACATGGTCATATGGTCATCTCCCTTGACCAGTTGGGGTGAGCAGAGAAAAATGGGGAGGAGAGGAGAGATGGGTGGAAAAGAGGGGAGAGAAAAGAGAGAGATTGTGGGGAGGGGGAGAGAGAAGCGAGAGAGACCGGGAACACTGGAGCACCATCAGCTATCAGCTCTGACTAGTTCAAATGTAAACAATAAAAGTGTAAAGAAGTTATTGATTATTAATGAAGGCAGCAACAATTCATATAATAATGAATTAGTAATAAGTATTGTTGTTATATATAATAATAGCAATAGTTGTTGCTCCTCCAGGAGAGAAGCCTGGGAGCTGAATGCTCCACCTCCTGTTCTACTCTTACAGACTCTTGGAACCACAAGAGAGCCTGTGTTTTGGGAGCAAAGTTATCTATTTGGATAATATGGTGTTATGAGCTCTTTGATATATGAAGGGGCTTGAGTGTTAAGGGCTTTAAATGTGAGGAGCAGGATCTTGATTTCTATTCTGAATTATACAGCGATCCAGTGCAGAGAAGCTAAGACAGAGTAATATGATCTCTCCTTCTAGTTCCTGTCAGCACTCATGCCACAGCATTTCAGATTCAGATGAGCATGAAGATTTTCACACACCAAATTGATTTCATTAAGAATTACATTAAATTCAAACACTCAAAATATAGTAGAATATATGTCATGAGTTACATTCAGTTAAAATTATTGTAGCCCAATACAACATCTGTGCAATATATTTTGCCTTTTTAAACTCATTTTGTAAGTTTTAGTTTGTCATTATATTTAAATGTATCACATCATACGGAAAGGTGTCTTTCTCATTTTATCGCTGATATATTCAGCCTTTGAGAGAGTTTAGTACATGAAATGTAAAATGTAATGTTTAATTCTTTTCTCACAATCTCACAAACTGAAAACAGAACAGTTTATAACAGTTCATAACTTTCCTAAAATGCTGTAGTCTCAAAAGCCAGATAAATGAGGGTATTAAAAGTACTTTTTGCCCAATATGTGACATGGTAATCTATGACACTTTGTAGATGAATAAAATAGGGTTCTTTGCTGCCACCTAAAGATACTAGTCAGAAATAAGTCCCTCTCTAAAACCCTCTCTCATTACCTTCAACATACTTAATCACACATTTTTACATCTCATTCACACAATGCATTCCACAGCCCCTAACCCTGCCCAGGGCAACTAAACCTCTAATTGCAACTGTGCATACTTTGCCAACATGTCCTTATTCCCATAGTCTCAATCTCAATTTGGGCCTCACTAGAATAGAATAAATTCACACATGCACACACAAAATTCAGTTCAGAGTTTTTGCATTTCAGTTGTACTTCAGTTGTTGGGCTAAATAAAACAGTGTATTTGTTCCTGCTCACAACAATCAGACAGAAAAACAGAATAAATTCTACTCTTTTTATTGAGACAAGGGTAAAACATCATATGTAAATTCAATGGCAAAAATAAAGATGTTACACAATATGTTACAGTATATTCAGGATCATATCACAAGAGTATTCCTACTTTAGTTGTCACAATTTTAAACACATAAAATATTGTTTCTGAAAGATAATGCACTGCTTATGTTATATGAGTCTTATTTACAATATGATACTGGAACGTTTGCATGTTTGTCTAAGGTAACGAGCAATTCATGTTGAGAATTATAGTAAAGTAGGATGTATTACACAGACGAGATATTAAATGTGCTGCTAGGTGACAAGTCAAAGGGATGAACAGCAAAGGAAAGAAAAGACATGACTGAATAATGCAGTTGCTGGGGATACAGAGGATGATGAATGCCTGTGATTACCTCTTTGACCACGAATAACAAAAGCTTGGGCCAAAAACAGCAATATGACATAACGCAGCTTGAAAAGCTCCTCCTTACTGTATACACTCCAGATTAGTTCTTTTATTTGAACACACTCATTTCTCTGGACTGTGGGCGTCATCTTCCTCAGAGTTGTGTGTCTCTTCCTCTGTCTCCTCTGCATTTTGTGTTTGGTTTGGTCCGGCCGGGTCATTATTATGGGATGGTCTCAGAAGATATTCCAGCTCCTCTGCGCTGATGGCCACCTTCTCAGGAATCAACCACCTCTTAAAGTATTCAAGGGCACTGCAGAAGGGAGGTGCACAAAAAGTAAAGGGTTTTAAGATGACTAGAGGTCTCTCTAAAGCTCTCTATTGCCTGGGAGGCATTTGTTAGCCTTGCAACAGTCTAGACCAGTGTGTAGCTGCATCACATTATTTCTCATGCAGCAAATTGGATTTAATAGAGTAGTAGATAAATTGCAAAACACTCCTCCACCAAGATGATGTTTTACATTAAGTCCATGTCTTACCTCTCATCCAAGTCACCACCTTGAAAAAGCTCTGAGGTCTGGGCGTCGTGCAGGAATCTATCCCAACATTCTTTCTTAGCCTGAGACAATGAGCGCAACATGTCCCTGGAGGTAACATCGCTGGTTTGGCCCTTTAACTTCTTCAGACGATTCTCTGCAGCAAAATGTGGGCACGACAAACTTTTTAGCATCTTACAATAAAGTTATAATTGACATCTTTGAATGGGCAACAATTAATTTCCAACATTAAGAGTGCAAACACAACAGGGTGCGGAGCAGTTTTGGTTTTCAACACAATTCCATCAAAAGACACAGATAGTAATAACACATGCCACAATATAAAATGTTGCTGCAAACATTTTCTACTATTTTGCATCTAATACGGTGATATGTGATGTTGCAATGTATACATCACCATAGCTGTTAAGTCAAAAACTATCAGTGGTAAAAAGAAAAGTTGAAGTTAAGATGCAAGATGATATTTTGATAGAGATATTTTAAGAGTTTAAATAAGTCAATATATAACATGAATAATTGATCAAGTACTACTCTGATGAAGGCACAAAAACTGCAAGTATAAAATAAATGTGTGTATTGGAGCAGATTTGCCACTATTGAAGAATTATCTCCCATCTTGAATGAAGTGATGAAGGATGTATGATGGATGGTATGATCGGGTGGATGGATGCCATAAAGCCAATCAAAGTTACAGAGAGAAGCAGGACATTACCTAAACTAGCTATGTAGATCTCAGAATCCTCCATCGGTTCCCATTTGGCACTGGAGGAACTGATGCTTGTCCCATTTATGTGACCATTGAGCTGCACTGGGACTGGTGCTGCTGGCTGGAAGGAGTCATTGAACTCGATGTTGTTGTTCCTCTCCTCCTCCGGGGCGGCCTCCGTCTGCTGCCCCGGCAGAGTGGAGCAGATCTCGGTCCACAGCTCCCCGCTGGTCCGGACCTCCTGACTGTCGAAGGCGTCGCTCATTCTGGGAAACACAGATGTCAACATCAGTTTAGGGTTAGCATGTTTCTATCTGCAGCCTTCCAGTCGCATTAAAACAACCACGTCCAACACATATGTTGATATAAAAAGACGGAAATGATGCATATTTTACAACAAGAGAAACCAAATTCTGAGCTTAATTCAGGCTACAACAGATTTGAGCTAACTGGTGTCTAACCTGCTGTTTTATACATTTCACGTGTTATTCACGGGCTGTCACTGCAGTTAATCAAATACACATCTTCTCATCTCCACAATTCATTACTCAACATCTCACCTGGGAAACACAACCGAGGGATAAACTCTTAACTTCACTGATGTGAGGAGTCGAAGATTTAGCCTCGCTAGCTAACTACATCCATGATCCAGAAGCTTTTAGAGCGACAGCCCACTTCCGTATTGGGGATGCACGCGATTGGACATTGTATCCGCCTGTTATCAAGCTGTGCGATATGATTGGCTCAGAACGCCTTGGTTTGGGAATGTCCGCATCTGATTGGTCAGTTGCTGAGGGTGGGACCAGGAAGTGTCAGCGGGAAGGAGGAAGCGGTGGCGAAGGTAAACACGCTCCCTGACCTCTGTAGAATTACGTCGTTCATGAGTGTTTTAATAAGCGATGTGTGCATCGGTAGCCACTCAGCGATTTCCACTTGTTTATAACTTGTTTTTACAAGTTGGCTAGCTGATCCATTTCTATAACCCTGCTTCAGTCTGCGGGGATGAGCAACAAACCAGTTACACACGATCAGAACTGTCTGTGCCATCATAGTCAGACTATACAATGTCAATGTCCCGCACAAAGGGAAGTCTGACCGTCATGTCGCTGCAGGGGGGCCCAGGGTAAGAGATGCGACTGGCGTTGCGCCTGGCAGTCGTGGCTGTCCCTATGGGTGTGCTGCTGTCCCGGACCATGGCGTGGATGTCCAGCGGGAAGACGCATCCAGAGCTCATCAGCAGGCTGAGGGGTAAAGGACTCGAGTCATCAGCTTGGGTTTATCAATTCTGATTAAAAGTTCGAAATGTGAAGGTGAAACTGTCTGTAGTAATGTTGATACTGGTAAAGATACTTTAACTCTGGAAAAACAGAGGACTTTAGCCAGTCTGGCCATTTTTTATTTGGAAAAGGAAATTTTGCGCAATGTGACTTGGAAATTTGAACATGGAATTTGCAATTTTAACATATTACAAAATCGTATATGTGAATGCATGGAAAGGAACCAAACCTCCTTTTTTCTATTTCTTCTTTTCGTCTTTTCCTTTTAAATTGTGTAGAAATTAGGGGTCAAAGCTAGTCAAGAGTTCAGAAAAATATAGACAGTAATTCTTTATTGTCATTTTTTCATCTAAAAAGTCCAGAGATGTTTTTTTTTTTTTTCCCACACATGGAAATCTGATTCCAAATGTTTATGTTCAGTGCCGTTTCCTCTTCCTTTCTCCTGTAGATCACGGTGTGATCCGCAGCAACACAGTATTTGATGCCATGCTGGCCACAGACAGAGGACTCTACTCTCGAGACTATCCTTATGCAGACTCCCCTCAGTCCATAGGTATCAATTCCAATGACTCTGTAAACACTGAAACACTCATGCTTGTCCATATGAGCTGCTGCATTGTGCTGTAGCGTAAATCCTCTGTCATGAGCACAGATGTGACTGTGTTATGTTGTTTTTTTATCACAGGTTACAGAGCGACTATCAGTGCACCACACATGGTGAGTAATACAGTCTCAGAAGAAATATGAAATAACTAAATAATTCCCAGACACGATTAATTGAAATATTTCCCATGGGACGTGGTTTGACAGCACGCTCACGCTTTAGAGCTGTTAAGTGAAAAACTAACAGAAGGGGCGTCAGCTCTGGATGTGGGATCAGGAAGTGGATACCTCACTGCCTGCTTCGCAAGAATGGTGAGTTCTACATGAACATGACATGTTTCTTAAAATCAGCGTATTATTTAATCGATTTGCCCTCACGTGAGTTGACAAAAAATACATGACTGAGTGCAACCACTGTGTTTTTCTGTCTGTGTGTGTAGACAGGACCCAGTGGAAGAGTGGTTGGTATCGAACACATAGATGAACTGGTTCAAATGTCAATAAAAAACGTGCAAGCTGACGACCCAGACCTGCTCTCTTCTGGACGTATCAGACTTCTCGGTGAGTCAGGCAGTGTCAAGGCCGACCAGCTCACTTTTGAAATCCTCAAACTGCTCAGCTACTAAACCTCATTCTTACATCTGTCAGTGGGGGATGGAAGGCTGGGATTCCCAGACGGAGCACCGTATGATGCGATTCACGTTGGTGCTGCTGCAGCTACTGTTCCTAAAGCTGTAAGGACAAATGTTTTTTACGCATGAAAACAGCATAGAAGAGAATAAGACTAATTATGCACCCACACAAAAAAGGCCCATTCTGTAGTGAACTGAATGTTAAAGTAATTTCCAAAAGTGTTTCCACTGTGACTTGAAAACTGGCTTTTGAACTTATTGAACCTGCTCATGTTAAATTCCTTTTTAAACTTTTTGTGAAAGCTCTTGGAGCAGCTGAAGCCAGGTGGGCGGCTGGTTCTCCCAGTGGGTCCCGATGGTGGCAGTCAGGTGTTAGAGCAGTATGATCGACAGAGTGACGGAACCTTCCTGAAGAAAGCTTTGATGGGAGTGGTTTACGTCCCCCTGACTGACAAGAGGCATCAATGGCCCAGGTATTGCACAAAAACACCCCATGCCTATGATATGAAAGCAAAATTAGGGATTGAGATTTATTTATTTACAAAAACCTGCATGTTATTTGTGGACATTACCTCCACTAGGTTCCTCTCTAACCCTCAATTTATTATTTAGTCAAGAGTCGCATCCACCCACTTCCAGTTACTTGTTCCTGATGGCATCCATGCAATCCTTCCTTCTCTCCCCAGAGGTGAGCTCTGATTGCAGTGTGGTTGCCCCTGCAGGAGATGGCGTTGGTGCTGCGTCTCTGGGGCCCTGTAGCACTCCTCGAGGTTTCAGTGAGCTCCAGAATAAACGGCCATCTGCCCCAATGTGTTGTCCCCAGCAAAGTACAAGGGATGCATCTGTTTTGCCCAACAAGGTTGTCTTCCAGGAGAGATAAAAGAGCGAGCGACCACCGCTGGACTAATGACCTTTCCACCAGTTTGCATGGAGTTCAAAATTGTAATTACAACATAAAGAGATACAGTCTGTGTTCCACTCAGATGATGATGGATGAAATTATGTGTCTTCTCATAAGAATGCTTTGGTATTAATGCAGTAACTCATAAAGATAAATCTAAATACAAGCCAAGAGATTTTAAAGCTAATTAACAAAGTAATCTATATTTTGTGATAAGACCTGCTTCATATAATATATGAATGTCCGGTTTGACATTGTTGCTGTAGAACAGAAGGGGCATTGTGCCAAACATTGATCAACTGAGGCACTTAACTTAAACTATACAAAAATTGTAATTATGTGTACACTCACCAGATTTATTAATAAAACCTAAATGGATAATGTATTGATTGTCGTCAATCTTTTGTGAAAGCAATTTTATTTTTGTGTGTGTGAAACTGAAACTGATTATGAGAAGATATATTATGATAGAGGGGGGAGTAATAATCATTTTTTACTGTCATCAGAAGCAATTCATATATTACAGGCACACAACTACACAAAAGTTGAAGTCGACTAAACACTGTTAATCTTTTTGTTGTACATTTGATTTGTATATGTATAATTCTATGTATAGACATTTCTACAGACAACAAATGCACTCACGAACAAAAGGTGAAAACAGTTCTAACCTCATGCTGGTGTTTTACTGCAGGAACATTTATTTACATGCCGTCCTGCTGCTGCATATTTCATGTTATTATCTTTTTATTCATTTCTTATACGTTGGTGTTGTAATCTTGCATAATGTATCAATTAAGTTCATATTGTGAACAGTTGGTGTTGCTGTTGCCCCGATAATGATTGAAACCATAGGAAAAGAAGAAGAATCACGATGGACTACATTCGACTGATTGGACTACATTTCCACGTCATCAGCGCGCGCCTCCTGCTGACAGGACCTCTAGCCAGAGAGCGATGCACGTGAGTGTTGTAGTGAGAGGTTTGAGTAAATGTGGTTCACTGTGTCTGCTCTCGGTGAATAAACGTTTCCCTCACTCATTCAAACTCTCCGGTTTGTCCCAGAACGTTAATGAATCTGTGAATCGTCTGTTTCCGTCTCCGCGGTGTCAACAACAGAGCACCTCGACCATGGAGCAGGCGGCTGCCGCACCGGAGGAGGAGGTCGACAGCCCGGTGTCCGCGCAGGGAGTCGCCGCTAACGAGGCAGTAGGAGCCGGCAAACGTAAAAGCGACGAGCCGGGGGAACCCGAGGCGAGGGGCCGAGGGAAGAGACGGAGAGGAGCCGGAGGGAAGAAGCTCCGTCCGGGCGAGAGATACATCCCTCCTCCGCAGAAACGGAACCCCGGGGTCAGCTTCAGCCAGGAGCACTACTCCGAGACCTCCTACTACTTCGAGGGTGGTCTCCGCAAAGTCCGCCCGTACTTCTTCGACTTTAAAACCTACTGTAAGGGTCGCTGGGTCGGGAAGAGTCTGCTGGAGGTGTTCGGGACTGAGTTCAGAGCCGAGTCCGTGGAGTTTTACCAGAGGGCCGCTAAAGAGGGTCGAATCCGGCTCAACGAGACACCTGTGGAGGACCTGACTGTGGTGCTCAGGGTCAGTCACAACACTACACAATACTACATAGCACTACACAGTACTACACAACAATACTACAACACAATACTACACAGTACTACACAGCAATATCTACAGCACAGTACTACACAACAGTTCTACACACAGGCCATTGATATGGGTTTATGAGGCTGATAGCGATATTATGGGAGAAATAAATCTGATATAAAATTGGAAATGATGATAAGATGTTATTAACTATTATGACAGAAATGTGATTGAGCTTTGACATTTTACATTCCAAATAAAAAGTTCATCATAAACAAATACAAAAAGTCAGTGCTTGAAAATGACGTTGAAAAAAAATATTTTCTTATGTCTGATGTAAATATAAATGCACACATGTCCACCTTGTTTATTGTATATTTGCAAACAAACACTGATAACAATATACTATAACTACATATATGCTACTGCTAGTGAGCAAGAAGAAGATTATCCCTCTCATTAAATATGCTGAGTGAAACATCCACCTGCTGTCAGTCTCCAGAAGTTTCTTATCTTCTCCGTACTGTCCACAGAATAACGACCACTTGAGAAACACTGTTCACCGCCACGAGCCGCCTGTGGTCGGCAGGCCCCTGGAGGTTCTGGTTGATGACGGGGAAGTGCTCGTTGTCGACAAGCCCGCCTCCATCCCAGTCCACCCCTGCGGCCGTTTTCGCCACAACACTGTGATTTTCATCCTGGGGAAAGAACGAGGCCTCTCTGAGCTCCACACTGTCCACAGGCTGGACAGACTCACCTCCGGAGTTCTGCTGTTTGCCAGAACTTTGGAGGCGTCAAAGAAGCTGGACCAATTGGTGAGAGACAGACAGGTACGTTTAAGAAGGTCCCCACCCTCTCTGATTTTTGACAATCACAAATACACCTGTGAGTTTTCAAGAGGTCTTCACATCTAGTCTCTTTTCTAGCTTGAAAAGGAGTATGTGTGCCGAGTGGAGGGGGAATTTCCAGAGGGTGAAGTGACCTGCGAGGAGCCTATTCTGGTCGTTTCCTTCAAAATCGGCATCTGTCGTGTTGACCCCAAGGGGAAGGAGTGCCGGACTGTCTTCCAGAGGCTTAGCTTTAATGGAAAAACCAGCGTTGTCCGCTGTTTACCCCTGACCGGCCGCACACATCAGATCAGGGTCCACCTCCAGTACCTGGGCTTCCCCATCCTCAACGACCCCATCTATGGATCCTCAGCGTGGGGTCCTCACAGGGGCAAGGGGGGAGTGGTGGGGAAGAGCGACGAGGAGCTGCTGCACGCTCTGGTAGAGGAACATCGATCTCAGGAGAGTTTACACCTTTTGGATATGCAGGATGACGGCATTGGGATCAAGCAACAGGCAGAAAAAAACAAGACATGTGAGAAAAGAAACAAGTCAGATGATACGTCTGAACCTGACCTGAGTGGAGACACTCATCAGACACAGATGCCAAGTTGTACCTCCAGCAGTGCAGCGGTGGATGAAGTGAAACAGGACTGCACAGACTCTAACACCGACAGCAGCTCACTCCAAGAATCTCAGAGCCAGCAACCGATCGAATCAAATGGAGATCAAACAGAGAAAACTGACAATTCCCAGGAAAATCCTGCAGGGACCAGAGATCATCTGTGTAGTGAATGTAAGCTCATACGACCAGATCCCACAGAGAAGGAGCTTATCATGTATCTACATGCATTGCGCTACAAAGGACCTGACTTTGAATATTCCACACGTTCACCCGACTGGGCCAAAGAAGACTGGGATGAAGCTGATTAGATTCGATCTGATGAAATCTGTTCATGGCTTTTAGGTTTCAGTCCTCTAAAGGTTCAGTGTGTGGGATTTAGTGGCCTCTAGGGGTGTAGTTGCTTATTACAATTATCTGAATACCCCTCGTTTTATTCCTCTTCCACACGAGCAGGAGAAACTACAGTGGCCTTAAGGTAAAGTAAAAACACAAAAGGTCCTTTTAAGATCCAGTGTTTAGTTTGTGCATTCTGAGCCACTGTACTAATGTGGCAGTGTAACATGGCGGACTGTGGACCAGGACTCAATTGTAGATATAAATGACTCATTCTAAGGGAACATTCTTAATTTAAGGACATTGCACACTAATACAAACATAATTATAAATATTAAATTCAATTTCTGTTCATAGGTCACTCTTAATCCTACACACTGGACCTTTAAGAAGTTTTCTGCTTTGATAGATTTGTTTTTTTCTACTGATAATTTCTCAGTAATTTTTGGGGAATTTGGTTTTTGGTATGCTGCTTCCTCTAGATTTGAACCAGTAGAAACAAGTTTTCCTTTGGCTATTTTAGCCTTAAAGATAAAACAGAAAAAGCAGTTGTATTCTTTCTCAATTTACTGTTTAAATGTTAAGCATATAGTTTTAATTTAATTATTTTAGGCCTGTAATCTGTTTTATACTCTAAACAAATGTGGAAACAAATTAAAAAGCCAGTCTGCAGGAAAATAAATGATTCTCATTTTATTCAAGCTTTGTGAAAAATTATCAACAGCTGTAAGTAACAGTGGTGGCAACTTTTTCCTTTATTCTCTCTTCATTGAAAGTCTGGGATCGACTTCAATTGTCTGGAATGCACATTATTCTGCTGAGCTTGTTAAAAATTGTCACAAGATTCTAAAAGAAAACACATCTTACAGTGAGCTCACAGGCACATTTCATATAAATCTTTCATTATCAAGGCTCCAGGAACTACACTGCACCTCCAACACCACTTTTACACTAAACATCATATTTACTATCATAGACACATCTTATTATTTTAGAAAGACATCTTTTGCACAAATCACAGACATTTGTTTTAGCTTATAAAACAACCTGTTTATAGACATTTGGCACATGCTGCTCATGTAATAAATACCCTTATTTAATGGTATTGAGACTTGTGTAATGTGACATCTCAGATGCTGATGTAGATAAAGGCATTCTGTTCTCTAACAGTGCTGCAGCAAGGTTTATGTACAAATTATGTTTTTCAAGCAGCAGTTGTATGTAATTGTACAGCTACTGCATTGGAAATTGAAGTTAGAGCCCACCCCTGCTTCATTACAAAGGCTAAGGCAAGTGCTGACATCCACAGATCTAGGAACAGTATGCACCTTAATTCACCAACAGTGTATAATACCACATGTGAAGAATGCAGCCGGAGATTGTCCGGGTCAGATGAATTCACAACAACAGGAAAATGTTTGGAATATTCAGGTGAGGCGTGTTATCTGCGATATTTATATTCTTTTTGTTTTTTTTCCATTTTGGGTCTGTTGCACGTTAGAAACGGAACGCGCCCACTCACTCGCGGTGAATTCTCCAGACATTTTCCTGTCGTTTTCTTACATAGACTCACTCAGATATTTTCTTGAAAATGTCTGGAGGAACTGACGGCAACTTTCAGCAAAATGTCCGAGCTTTCCTGCATGTCTGAAAACAGCCTCTGAAACCATTGTTGCCTTTATAATCAGTACAGGAAGTAAACATTAAATATTTTGGCACTGACATGAAATAACAGACTTAACTTGACAGTCAAACATTTAATCCAAGCCATGGCGTCATGACACGTTCCTGCTTCATTTTTAACAAAGGACCTTCTGTACATTATTGTCACAAAGTGCAAAATCAGCCAAATGTTTAGTGACATTTGTTTGCTACTCTACATGTGATGATGATTGATTCTTTGTCCACAGTCTCACATACAGTAATGCACCTCTTTCTCTGCTGTACATTTATCTTTTATTAAGTCCAGGAATTTATGGCTTATTTAGGTCAGTTCCGCCACGGAGAAAGGCCAGCAGGTGCACACAGATGACACTGTTATTTGTTGAAAACCCAGTGTGTGCTGAGTGTGCAGGTGTTAAAAGTTTCCAGGCACTAAGTAAATTCTGCAGCAGCAGGTGCAGTACTCATGTTGACAACACACTGTGGCTACTGTAGAGAGACATTAGTGTGAAAATGGAGCAGAAAAGACCATTTGTCTTTCTGGAAATGCCGCGATGAGCAAGCCATGCTTTGATTTGACAGAAGAAACACTCATGCTTTGACCATTTGTAGCAAAAACTGAAAATCTTAGATGAAAAAATCTGTCACATGTTACATTTGCAGTTGGCTTATATTTCCTTTGAATGTTTTACAAAAGTAACAGTGTACACTCCTTTTTTAATTTCTATATTAATGCACAACCTTTGTAAAGATGCCTCCAACTTTGCTCAACATGTATCCTCCCGTTTTCCACCTCTCTTTATCCACACATCTGGTAAGTCTGGCTTACTGTTGGGTAAAATAACCACTTCTTCACTCTGACTGCTGCGGCCCTTATTACACGTTTCATAAACAGTCTCCCTCAGTGAGAGACGAAGCGTATCTCTCTTTCCGTTCAGGTATCCTGGTTGTAACTGAGCATCTTCTTCGTGTTGCTGCATGTTCGAAGGCCCGGGCTCGATGTCACTGAGGCATGTTTCACAGGAATCCTCCAGACCCTCACAGGAGCTCTGGGACTGGGAGGGGTAGTGGAGACACTCCTCTGAGGTTTGTTCATCTTTGCAGAAAGATGGCTGGTCAGTGGTCTCCAGTGTGTGGCTGATTATAGTCTCCTGTATGCTGGAAGATGAGGAGAAGGATGTATTGCCCCAGTGTGTCACCCCACCAGACTGACCTCTGCATGTCTTACACAGCAGCTTGTCCTTAGCGAGGTCCTCTTGTGGCAACCCTCCAGGCTGCAGGGAGTTTTCTTTGTATGGTGATGAAGTCTGGAAGGCTGAAGGTGGCTGACGACCGCACGTCTCGTCACTCTCCCCATCCATGCTGTTTCTTCCCGCATCTCGGTCACAATACTCAATCTCATCAGAGAGCACTGAGGGCCGGTTGGACAGTTTACTGGTGCAGGTGCTGTTCTCAAAGCTGTCGCTCAGCCTGTAAGCCAGGGGCTGCAGCTCGTACTGCTCCGGACCTCTGCCCCCTCCTCCTCCTGTCTCTTTCTGTCTGTGCTGACGCTGCTGGTTGGGGTAGAGATAGCCACCTGCTTCTTTATCGTAACTCCTCCTCACTCTAGATCTGCCAAAGGCTCCGTTTGCTGCAGAGGAGGAACCAAGTTCTGTTGCCGAGGGCAGCCCATCAGTCTGATCTGAAAAACACGGCAGAGAGATCTTCCCACAGTTTGTTTTAGGTCCAAAAAAGCAGCACAGGGACTGAAAAAAGAACGTCGCAAATCCACAAGCTACACATTTCACCAAAAACAGGAAAATCCCCAGTTTTCTGAAAAGCAAGGCCGTGGCAGGTAACATGATGATCCCCATGGAGAAGAATGCACCAGACACTATTGCTACAGGACGTCCCATTCGTTTGGTGGAGTGCGCCACTTTCCCAATTTTGTCCGAATGAGGAGCCAAACTATACGATATGCAGTAGTCAGCTACAAAGTCGACAGACAGTCCTGCTGCCGATGATATAAACAGAGCCTCGATGCCACTCAGCTGCCATTCGAGGAGAACCAGGAGGCCGACTGTTACGAACACACTGCCTCCCACAGCTACAGTCCCGTAAATGCTCAGTGGGATATTCCAGGTGGTTAGAAAAAGCAAAACAAAAGTGAGAGCTACTGAAAAGCCAGCGACTACCAGAGTCTCTGAGCTTAAGGACTGTTGTAGATCATAAAGAGACAGCTGACTGATGAACCAGACATTGTCCAGCCCCTGTGGTGCTCCTGATATTTCTCTGTTAAACCACGTCAGGATTTCTCTGTAAAAAACACTGGTTCTGCTATAGTTGAAGCTGTAGAGGTATGTGGTCGTGAATGCCAACACGAGGGCAGCGACCCTGCCATCTGTCTGGAAGTACAGGCCTCCGCTGTGGGCCAGATGGCCCTCGGCATACCTCTCTGCCAGCATCATACTGAGGCAGTTCTCAAAAACGCTGGGAGGGTAGGGGAAAGGGATGTCTTTGCTGGATAAATTAAGGGCGTGGTCACTCTCTGAGCACCGTCTGACGGACACCCAGTGAATAAGCTGCTCCACGAGACAGATATTGTCTGTCATTTCATTTCTACCCTCAGGTGATGGAGAGGAATAAAAGCTTTGGTTCTGGACCCTTCCACACAGGTCTCTTAACCAGATCTGAGCTTCTGGTCGGCTCATATTAAAGTCTGGGTCAAGCACCATAGAGCCATTGCTATTAGGGTCAAAGTGATCCCCGTTATCTGTTGGTTTGACCCCCCAAACAAGTGTTAATGTTACAGGCTTATCCTCACCATTTTTCTGTCTCTGAAACATAAACATGTGGCGGTACTCTGCGTCGTACCTCTCAAATGGGTGACTGGAGCGGAAAAGCTGGGTGACCTTGCTTTCTAAGGTGGGCAGCTTCATGCCTGGATCAATGCAGGACATGTATGTGCCCCCAGCAGCAAGCACTGCAAACCAGCACACCCAGATGTACCTGAACTTCACCACTCCACAAGGTAAGATTTTCAGGAATAACAAATTTGAAGTGTCTGCGAGCCCTCGTCGCAATTCCCTTAGCTTCTGGCCAAGATTGAAGAGGCATCTCTTACGTGAGCTCGTTTCCCAGAAGCCGCCAGGATTTTTGGAGCAGCATGGTTTCCATCCCTGCACTGATAGAGAAGCAGGGGATGCCTTTGTGTAGCGCTCCCGCAGAACGAAGGAGCAAGGCAGCCACACCAGGGACAGGAGGGAGCTGATGAAAGAGGCAGTTCCGAGATAAACAGAGAAACATCTGATTGCTGTGATGCTGCTGAGATAGCCGGAGAAAAAGGCTGCGGTGGAGGTCAAACCGGATGCTAAAATCAAATAGCCGACTTCCTGCAAAGCTCTGTGCACTCTCTTCTCCAGGGAGGCAGGAGGGTTCTGGGACAGCTGCATTTGCCAGAAATCAGCAAAGATAAAAACCTGATTTGAGCAACTTCCTAAGAGGATAAGAGCTGCAGAGAGGTTGACCAGGGGAAAGAAAGTCAGGCGAAATACTACTTTGTAGAAGAAATAAGACGTTAGGAGGGAGCCTATGATTGCTATGATAGATAACGCTACTATGAAGAGCGAGTGGAGATATAGAGCCATGGTAAGAAGAAGGCAGACAACAGCTAGGACAGGATATACTGAATCTCTTGCAAGGTAATGCTTGAACAGCGTCTGCTTGATGCCAAAGTCCATGCCAGTGATTGTGATGTTATTGTGGGTCAGATCCCTGCCTTCAAGGCTTTTCATGTAGATCTCCATCATGTGCTCCCCTTTGTTGACGGGTAAGAACAGAAGGCTGTACTTTAGCGTTGGGATTTGGTATTCAACAGTCTGCGGGCCAAGGAAGTCTTTATCGACCAGAAAGTGCAGGATCTGGAACACCATGCGAGACTGTTTGCAGCGAGATGGGACGGAGGAACAGCCGCCGTGTTTGGGTCTGTCGACACAGACTTCCACCAGATGTCCTTCATGATAGTGCGGAGCACACTTCCGTAGCAGGTTCAGAGACTCAGAAACCTAGAGAGAAACAGAGACATTTTAATTAGGCTCAGTCACTACAATAGGAGGACTTGAGGAATTATACGATGATGAAAATTAAAAAAGGCTGGCGTTATTTGATATTTTTCATATTGTCACAAATTCCAATGAAAAAACCAACAATCTTTTAATCCCTTTTATACTATACAAGTTTTTAAAAGGCAAAGTATTTTCCTAAAAGCACTGGGCACTAGAGTTTAGTTCTGCACTCACTGGAGTAAATATTAGATTTATTGAGAACTATTCAGACACATTTGGTTCATTAGTGAGTATTTACAGCAGTGGGGAGGTTTATTTATCAAAAATAAACTAGAGTAACCTTCTTCGTTTTGTTCAGTTTGTCTCATTGATGTATTTTTGATGCACGGAGGAATACAATACCAGGCTTTACCCACACATACAGCACCTAATAAGTTCAATTCATTGTTGGTTTGAGTCTTTTCGTGGGGTATCTGCTAAATATATAACAGGTATATGAAAATTACTAAAAACTATGGGTGGAGAGTCCAAAATTATCTGTTGGGGCCTGATACCAAAACCTGATGTGAGTGATTTAGTCACTGACAACTCAAACCACCCCCACAACCCAATGTAGCTCTTCAAGTAAAACCAAGAAAAGTCATTTCATTTTAGTCAAACAATTGCTTCCAAAGTCAAGAATTCCAGATAGTATTGAAATAAAAAAACTGCAAACTAATATTTACCTTGTGCTGATGATTATAATTTAAGCAGTAGTTTAATTTTCCAAATGTAAAGAAGGTTAAAGAACCTGGTGTGAGGTGAGGCTGAGACAGCAGGAAGCATTTGTGAGGACAGCCAAGTAATTTCCCAGAGACCAGCTCGGACAACAGCCACTCCTGGATGTTCCCTCAGCCTCCACCCTCACATGCTGCTGGCACAGGTCCTGGAACTGAGCTTGGGAACGAATCTGAATCAGACAAGGGAAAGATATTTTTTTTATACACACCAACTTTTGAAAGACAAATAACTGAAGGTACACAGAGTGGTGCGTGCAATTCCTGCAGTGTTTGAAATATGACGTGTAATCAGGGAAAAGACACGGGTAGAGATTGATAGAAGATGATGACAAAGCGGTGAGAAGGGAGAGGACTAAAGGTGAGATGAAGGGCTGAGTGAATCAGAGCGAACCCTGGACTGCTCCATCTCGCACATGGCGTGGATGGCCTTCAGGCTCCAGAGACTGGCTGAGTTTTCTGATCTGAACACCAGCTGGGCCAAACGCTCGCCTGCAGGAGACAGATGGAGTCAGAGCACAGTAACAAGATGAGTACAGGGAATCAAGTTTTAGGGGTTTTATTTCTTTGCCATGTTATTGCATTTAGCCCATCGCTTTTTGGGACTACAAACATGTACATCCAGTATTACATATACACAACGTGGAGGGACAAATATAAGAAGAAATCCAAAAATTGAATAACCCCGTATAGAACTACACAAATGACTCGATAAAGTGACTCATTTGTTTCTCATCCTGAAGACTTTTATAAACAGCCAACTCAATCCTTGGACATCATCCATATTTATATATACCTTCTTCTTTATCTCACAAAACAACAACACGCAGTACAAATTCATAAAGGTAAACCAGGCAAACAAGTATTTATTGCATGTTATATTCTGCTGTTTGTGTAGAATAAAAATTAAGTATATATAATAAAGGAACATTGGAGTTGCTCATAAATCCTTTCGGGGAACCTTACTGTGTTTTATGAGGCAAACAGAATTAGAATCATAATCGAGCAGCTCATCATTTCAAAGAGGAGCTTAAAGAAGAAAATCTGGGATAAGCTGCCTGGGGAAAAACACTTAGCAAACTGATTTGAATCCGTACTAAAAGTTCACATTGTAAATATGCATCCAACCAATAAGTTGTTCTTGTTTTTCTTATGTTGTATTGTTTTTATTGTTTTGCTGGGGGAGCTGATTAACTCCTAACAAGCTCCATTGTTTCGCACTCAGCTCTCTGAGTTATTATGCAAATAGCTCAGCTGCTGAATAGGCACTCATCACATTTACATTGTATTTAATCATTTTTCATTTACTGCAGGCAGCCAGCTGTGTTACAACTCGATGGTTAAGCTTATGATTGTTATTTTGAGGTGTTGATGTGTTGTGTTCATGGTTCCTGATCAGGAGTGACCCACCTGGAGCATCACAGGGGAAGGTGTCCGGGGACGAGTCTCTGGCTAACATCCTCTTGAAGCGAAGTCTGGACGTGTCTTGTCCACCGCTGCTGCCTCCATCAACATCGGCCCCAAAACTACATCCCAGGTAAAACACACATGCGCTAACAATTTTATCAAACACAAAAACTACAAAGCTCATTATTTTCTCAAGTGAATAAATATCGGCCAGAATCAATTGGGTTTGGACAGCAGAAGCAAGATGTAAACACACCATTGTCTCTCTTTTAAATGTGAACCTGTTAGCAAATAATTGCTGCTTAGGTTGAATGTGAACCAAACTACTGTGCTGACTGTGCAACCAAAACAATGAACTTAAAGTCCTTAGAAAGCCCTGTAGAGCTGAGGAAAACTGCAGAGTCAGGTTTTATTGTTATTATTGTTGATATAATAATAAATCAAAAATAATGATTCACCTTCTTTCTAGTACCTTTAAAAACACAGTTCTAAGCTGCTTTGCGAGTTAAAAATGAAGAATTGAAGGCAAATCATAAAAATAAAAAAATTGATGATTTATATAAATATATTAATGAAAATTTTACATTATGAGAAAATGATCAAAACAAAGTAAAACATTCTAAAATGATTAAAAATAGTCAGATTTAGAGAATTTAGAGTTAGCTTTAACAATTAATTATATTGTAAAATAACTGACTCTACCCACTTAAATCATATGTCCTTCAATCTAATAATGAATATGCTTTTATGTATAATAAATATATTTTGAATATTTTTATAGTGACCCTTAAAGGATAAGCAGTATAAATAATAAATGGATGGATTGGATTTTTTTATCATAGTAAAAGTTATTAGACCCTCACTTTCAAACATCACTTAACCACAGTTATAGAATGTGTACAGCTGATATGCATGTGTGAACTATGTATGTGCACTGAGTGAGTGGTGCCCCCCCCCCGTGCAGAAACCCTGTACTCCCACTGAAACCCACCACTGCTGACCTTTTACTGAGCTGCTGAGGCAAAGGAGACAGAGATTTCCCCGGGCCAGTGTTCTCCTGCAGCTTGGACAAGCTGGACTGACGGACTCCGATATAGGTTCCCCGCGGCTCGAAACCCTGAAAAAAGATTATGAACACACACGCATGCACACACACACACACACACACACACACACACACACACACACACAGACATCAAAGCTAAAGACGCGTAATAAATGCAGGTGCCCTTCAATACTCTACAGCAGCTCACTGAATGTTTAATCAGCATCACAAGCTCCCTGATATCTTGTCTGAACTCCCATAAAAACAATTGACGAGTGTTTGATGTTATCCCACACGGACAAAACACAAATCCTTGTATAACTCAAATTATATTCTATAATGTAAATCAGTTTACATTATTCATTAATAGGACATTGTTGTGAGTCACGTGCATTTTCACCGAAATGTATTTTATCTGGTGTTTATCGTGAAAGCATGAATCTCAAAGGTGAGATGATATATTTAATTAAGATGACAGGGAGTGTGATCTAATTCTCTGAGATCATGAGTCATTAGGGAAACAGTAATTAACGCTCAGCCTGCGTCGGTGAGGGAGGTTTGGATTGTAGTTTGGCAGAAGGAAGATGATAGACGTGTCTGTGCTGTGTCTGTTTTTGTGTGTGTGACACCCACCAGCAGTGGGTCAGAGAAGTCTGGCAGTGGACCAATGAAAAGTCCTGCCAATGAGCATCCCAGCAGCAGCACAGCACAACCAACCAACACTGCCAACGGGTAGTCCACTATCGCCTGGGAATAACTGCCAAATAAAAAGAAACACAGAAGAAGAAGTGGTGGCTGTGAGCGACATTAAGCAAAGGTTAATTATAATGATCAGACCAACTGTGACATCCAATCATTACCTTTGAAATTTATAGTGAAAATCGCTTTCAGTACTTACTTTCTGAGGAAGCAGTAGAGTCCTCCATCCCTGTTAATACAGTATTGAAGACTTTAATATGACAAAAGTTATGATAAATGTTATTATTAATATTGTCAGTCCATCTCCTTTCCACTCACCTCACTGTCACTACATGTCGCTGTGTTGGCTTCTGCGTGCCGCCATCATTTGAGCCGTGCAGCCAGTGGCATCTGACGGCGCCGCGACCTGACGTCTGATGAGCAGAGCTGCAGCTGTGTCCCACTTTCACCACCACACCTTCAGCACCGGGACCTGTGGTGTTGGAGTGACAGTCGTGGCACGGCCCCTGTGGTGAGTCATAGGAGCCGGCTCTAAGACGCTGTGGTACCTAAAGGAGAAACGAGAGAAGATATATATATATACAGAAATTACATGTCCTCTATTCATGGAGGACTCTAATACCAGTCAGTCTGTTGAGTGGCCCAATGGCTGTATTTGACACTGCCTCCAGAATCCTGGATCTATTTCTAACGTTATATTCTGACTTCATTCTAATTGTCTATCCCAAACAGCACACAGTTCAGTCAGTGTTCAGGCGTACTTGATAGAGCTGGCAGGAGGATGAGGGTCTGCCGAGGCTGCTGCAGCTGTCGCACAGCTCCCCCTCAGAATGGATGACTGTCAGCGGGGCCTCGGCAGAGCAGACGCTGTCAGGAGGGCACAGAGAAACCACCGGGATCTCGCTGAGGAGACGAGAGGAGAGGACGAGATAAATAAGCATGAGAAAGGTGAAGGTGCGAAACAGCAAATGTGCAGTATTATTTAAAATGAAAAATTAGACATTACAATATGTCTCCCACTGTGACATCTCTGTACCCCTGCTTCAGCTTCTCCTCATAGTCAATGGCGAACAGTGGAGTGAGCCGGCAGAACTAATGGGGTAAGGAATGGATTTCTGATACAGGTTCAATTCTAGGAGAGATGAGAGAGGTGGCTGTCCAGGATAGATAACAGAAGACTGAGTGAAGACTCATGGGTAATGGCAGCTGTCAGAACAGTGGAGTCAGGAATGATGTGAGTCTGAGTAAAGTATTCTTTTGTCAATCCTATAGATTATGTTGCATGCTCAATTTATGATACTTGGTAGAGAATTGTCAATAATTACGAACATAATCAATGAGTGAATAGTATGTTTATTGCAATGCAGGGTGTTGGCTGGTCCGTCACTTTGGTACAGACTGAGATATCGTAACGATAATAGATTTAGATTAAGGCCAACTGATTTGGAGCTAAAGAATATTCCCTGTGTCCAAACCATTTTCTACTATACTAAAATAAACACTCATATAAATGCTCGGTTAAGTGAACCAGTGAATTAAACAGACTGAACCACGGGAGCGAGGTCCTGATGACAAATGCAATTGACCAATCGTGAGTCAGTCTCAGCTGTCAAGCATGACATTTCACTCCGTTTTTAGAGCATCAAGTAATGAATCAAAACCAAAATGATCAGGAAAAAGTTGCACTTGAACATAAATCTGTGTGAGAGCAACAACTTCAAATGACAGAAACCATCTTTGAGAAAAGTTTATTTGACGTGCACGTCACATCCCCTAACATGGAGGAGGCAGAGTTTATCACCTATGCTGCAGCCAGCCACCAGGTGGTGATCGAGATGCTTTGGCTTCACTTTTGTGGAACAGTCATGTCGTCCATCCTTATATATAGTGTATGGTTCAAACCCACAGAAATGTATTTTGAGTTTTAGTGATCACAACATTCACAGAGATACAAAACACATCAGACTGAATTCACAAAATCTTTTTGATTCGATCGTGGAGCATTAAAAGACAAATATAGTCCTGTTTGAATGTTTTACCCATTTTTCATATAAATAAGCTTAAATGGAGCATTGAAAAAATCTGATACTGAACATATTGTATCTAATATTGTCAATGTGGAAAAAGACTAATTTAAAGCCATTAAAAGTAAGGAGACTATATTTAGGTTTAATCTGATCACAGCTTTTTCAACGTACTTCCAGAATTTGAATTTCAAAACTCTTAGAGTCTCATGGTTCTGAAGCTAGACTAAATAAACAGAGGAATCTGAACGCTCCAGTTGTCTCAGTGAAGGGGGCCGTGAGGTCTGCGCAGTCTGCCACATACTTGTTTTTCCACAGCAGGCTGGATGCAACCGCACTTCCTGTCCTGTCACCATAGCGACGCAGTAAGTCAACAGAGCCTAAATGACCTCACACGGTTTTATTTGAATCCCATAATAAGGAGCACAGATGATGAGTAGCCTGTCGGGCTTGTGGTGTACAGTAGCAGGGGGAATATGCAGCTGATGAATGGCAGAGCTCAGTGAGGACTTGAACCTCCGTATTCTGTCCTGTCACAATAAAGCTGTTATATGATCTAAATAATAAATAGCTCACAGTGTACTCAGCAGCTCTGAGCAAGTGTTTGTCATTTAAGCTTGGATTTGGAGCGAGAGAGTAAATACACTGAAAAAAAATTATCTGGAAGTCAACACTGTCGACAACCTTAACACAATTTAAACATGTATTCTGTTGCATGTTATAGTAAAGTGAGAGCAGGTTAACATATACTCTACATCATCAGCAGGTACTGTGTAACCTGCGCCTGGCAGCCTCGTCACTGCAGGCCTCTGGATGGGAGTGTTTAAGCCTGTTATTCCTCTTATGGTTTCTCACAGGGCTAGCCAATGCAGGCGCTCACACACACACACACACGAGGAGAGCAATTTGTGCAGAATCATCAATATTTCATTGGGCGAATACAAAAATACATCCCAGAAGGTGTCACGGAGCTGCTCCACCCGGCGCCCGCTGATGTCAGAACGGCCTCATAGAACAGAGTTTGAAAGAGCAAAGTTTATGAGCTCAAACTGAAGTTGCTCTGGTTTCATTTTGCAGTCAGACGTCAATGACTTGAGTTCACCTGTAGCCAATGCATAGTGGGTTAATAAAAGCCCTCATAACAACAAGGATCAATATTAGAAACACCTCTTCACTGGGAACAGTAATACCTGTGCTTACTCATGTTACACACTCATTTAATGTGAGTTATTGTTTTAAACTAAAACGATTAAATATCACTTGCCATTTTGAAACAAATTAACAAAATCAACTGAATACTAAGATTTAAATAGATACAAGGAAAACATAAATTAAGATATGAAGATAGCATTTGTTTCTGGACTGTTGTTTTGGTCCAATAATATGACTGAATATATCTTTGATCCTCCTGCTTCAGTGTCAGCGAGGTACCTCATTAACCACCAGCTGAATATGTGCAGTGGTTAAAAAAACAATTCACATTTATTATTTATTTTAAAAAAAAGCAGCATCACGCTTTGAAAGTTCTGCCTTGAATAATGTAAAAAAAATACAGGTCATAGTATAATCAGCAAAATGTACTTGCTGTACTGTTACCATGCTAAAAGCTGAGTTTGGTTGGTAGTAATAGTATTTGGAGCTGAACTCTAGAGTCTCAGAGGAGCTAGAGAGATCGAATAGACTCACAAAGTATCTGTCAGTTCTCACCTCTCTCTCCTCTGTCTGCCTGTAGGAATCTGTCTTTCACCCTCTCTGCACAGCACATGTCTCTCTCATCAACTCCCTGGACACTAGTCAGTGTAACGTCCTCAAACATGTCTTAAACTGTCAATCACACACACATGCATGCACAGAAAGCAGGACTGAAGCTCAGTCTGTATGCAGGAGGTGGACCTTCTTAAAAGGCCAGCTCAGGTTCAGTGTGGGGGGTATTATCAAAGGACGCAGGCTCTGCAGGAACCTTCTTTGAGAGGGACTGATCTTAAGAGTAGCAGACCTCAGCTGTTTCCAGCTCTTCGCTCATTTTTGACACGTCTCGGCCATTTGATTCATCTATTTTTTGTTTTATGTGCAGAGCTGGCGTATCAAGTGGGTGACAGGGTGACAGCAGTGACCCAGAGAGCCGACGTGACCGAAGCAGGAGGCCGATGACACTGAACAGGCCTCGCAGTTCTCGAGTCAACAATAGTGTGAGTGTGAGAGAGAGAGATGATGAGTGTACTGCTCTCACTTGTGCTGCTTACTTTTCACTGCATATCACTCTGAGGCAAAATGAGAGCATAAAATCCAGTTTATGAGATGATTCGTTAAAGAAGGCTGTAAAATCAATAGGGTTTAATATTGGAGCTAAAAATGTGATTGTACCAAACATTAACCTGACAAGTTTGTTGACAGCAGCTTGAGCATCTTTCGGTTTCACAAGCAGCGCGACACAAACAGGAATCAGTAATCGTATACGATGAAAGTGCAATGGGACAATTACAGGAGCAGAAATCATATCATGTGCGTGATGCCATTGTCCACAGCAGGAGCACAGCTGGACGGAGTGTCAATACTCACAACGGCCACAGGAGGGTAAAAACACATTCACGTGTAAATGCCCTTTGATTATCACCACACAAATCAAGTTCCCCTGGAAGCTACAGATGAAATCATGAAACCCACCTTTGACGAGCCTCCTGGACCCCCCTCTCATCTGTGGGAGAATCATCCATCACTATCGCATCCGTGCTTTCTCCTACAATCGAGGCATCCATCTCCCTCCTGACGCTCCTTGAGTAAAAGCTGAATCTGAATCATGGATCTCTCGAGGTCCACGAGGATCAGAGGTGCGAGCTGGTTTCCGAGGCTGATACTACACACACATACACACACACACGCGCAGACACACACACACGGAGCATCAGCACCGGGGCTGTTTGGGTTAATCTGCCCCGAGCCGCGCTCTGATTGGCGGAGCCGCGGTGATGCTGAGGACGCTGTGCGGTCGCTGTCCAACCGGCCGCGGTGCTGGAGCTCCGGCGGACGGACACCGAGCATCAGCAACTGATGAACCGGCTCCGACAGCAGCTGCAGGGGCCTGGGGTTTCTCAATAGCTCCGTTATACCAAGATGCACAGACAGTGATGTGGCGATGAACTTAACCGGGACCTGCAGCTGCTGAATGGAGTGGTGGAGTGATTCAGGTGAAACCAGTGTCCTCAGTCACTTTGCTTTCTTCTAATCTGCAGCAATCAATAAAAGAGAGGCTGAGATCATCAGAGCATTTCATTAAATAAAGCTGCAAGGGCAAATTTTATTTTCTGCAAAATAAGACCCCAAAATGTCTGTCCTTTCCGATTTTAACAACAGTAACAAAAATGAGCAATTTAATATATTTTATCTAATTGATATGAGTTTAAGTCTACTTCTTAAATACTGTGTCAAATGTAATCCTCCTTACCTATGTACATCCATGTGTAAAAACCAAAATCAGCATGTCCTGCTGTCTCACAATATTCTACAAATGTTTGTCCCCAGAATTAATACAAAGCTTCACATGAGCTGCTCCCTCCTGGAATCATCTAAAGATGTGAAACTGTCAGAGCTGGTTGGGGATTTAAGTCCATTTTAAAGGATTGAGAAAATACCCCTGATGGTCATGTGTGTATAGTGTGCAGCTGCCTTCTTGACCAAGTCTCAGATTTGAATCACAACGAGATGTTTACTTGGTTAAATTAAGGATATTTATACTTAAACTCATGGATCAGTGATATATATATATATAATAATGGCCAGGTTTAAAAAAAAAAAACCATTTGAGAGATTGTTTTGTTTTGTTTTTGACAATTTATATTGAACAAAAGCCTTTAACACAGCTGCGACATGTTGCTTTCATTAATAATCTATTGACATCAATCAATAACCGATCAATATTTCTGATATTCTCAGACTAGCTGCAAGGCATCAGCTTCTATTAATAGTTAACTGATATTATTTGTGCATCACCAAATAGAAAAGTTAAGATTGTTCACAACCTGGCAACCAGGTATTGCTCTTGGCTTCGCAAATGATTTATTAACCATTAGACAACTTATTGTTGAAACCTTTACAAATAGAGATTTAATAGAAACGCAACATGATGGAATGAGCAACTTTGGGACAAGCAACATTAAAAAGCATTTTTGTTATGTAATGCAATGAAGATACATAGAGACCAGAATTACATCATAGGTTTAGGCCATATAGGTTTGAGATGCTACTGATGAAAACATGGAAATCTCTCAAGCAGCGTCTAAAACATCTCTTTAGTTAGTTTCTGCAGATACAATGAATCTTATTCAGACTTTGAGCTGTCAAGATGTGGATTGTGTTTAGAGAGTTTCTAACATGTTGTACTTCTGCTTTTTTTGCCTCAGTTTTATTCTGAAAATGTAGTTTTACTGTTTCTCATGTAGAGAACAGGGTAGGTTGCTGTTGTTTTGACCTAATGAAGTAACAAAGTAAGAAGAGAAGAGAACATCCGATGAAGAAAAAAAGGAAGAATATGACTTTAGGCTTCTTATTAAGAGACGTAAGAGAGAAAGCAAAGGCGAGCAGCTGAGTAGAAAGGAGAGACTGTGATGCAGCAGAGCCATGTGATTCGCTGCTAATGAGGCAGCCACTGGTCTGGCTCTGGTTATAAATATGAATCATGGCACCGGGCCCTTCCGTCTGAGGGGCCACGCTGGAGGAAAAAAAGGAGGTGATTTATTGGAAGAAAGGCAAAGATCGGGAAAAGTAGAGTGTGAGACAGTTCTTTAGAGATCAAAGTTTTATGTCTGGGACTATATAAGAAGCAGAGACAGTGGAGGGGGGTATTTCAGATATATTTTTATTTGAATAACGTAGCTTCAGTAAGTCATGAAGTGCAGAACTGATTCCTGCAGAGTCAATACATATTTGCCCGATGAAGTTTCAAGTGTTTCTGCGAATGATCATGTTCGCATTGAACAAAGGTTCTGCTGTGTTGGTGGCACATACTTTTCTGAACAGCCTGTGTTGCAGCTGACACTGTTAATGCCTCGTTGACTCCAGACACTGATTAACTTACACAGAAACACACACACACACACACACACAGGGTACACAAGAAAAGAACATGCAAACCAACACATATGCAAAGCCTGATTTATTCCTTTACTGGATAACAGACCGATACACACACGTACACACAGGCTACACAAGAAGAGAACATGCAGACCAACACGTATGCAATGCTTGACAGGCACTTATGGATACCAGACCCACACATGCACACACACAGCCATACATGCACGCACACACACATATACACACATAATGAGAGGCTGAAGAGAGAGGAGGGGGTTTGGCTTCTGGCCTGTGCTGAGGTGACAGCCGTGGTAATTTCCTGTGGCAGATTTCTTGGAAACGCTTCATTACAGCTTCACTGCTTCCTCCAGATCTGTGAAATGCAGGCGTACATAAATACAGATACAAGAGCTGCAGCAGGACGGAGTGGGTGGAAACAAAGAGAGAAACAATGTGCTTCTGCTAACATGCATATATTTAACATATGACTTTTAATCAGAGGATAAGGCTGCTGATCATTGAGAAATCAATCTCAACAAGTGATGTTGCTTTCAGGGAAACAAAAAGGTGTTTTGCTGCCACCTGTTGGACAGATTGTGGAGGTGTCTTCATGTCTGTCTCTTGTGTGTAAAAAAACTATCTAAAGCTCTGTATGGTTTTATATCCTGATAACGATGGGGTGTTAATTGAGCGTGCGGATAATAACAGCAACATTTCACTATATTTAGTCACTTTCTTTTACCAGGTTTACAGCAGTATTTGTGAACTTTGTCATGTTTACTTTTTTTGTACAGATATTTAAAGATGATGTCAATGTTAAATCTAAAGATACAATTCAAAGCCAAATACTGAATGTTAAACCTAAATGTTAAACGTAACTGTTAAATCTAAATGAAAATAATGAATCTAATTGTAAATATTAAGTCTTAATCTAAACATTAAACCTAAATGTTAAATGTAGGGTTAATCTTAATCTGAATGTTAAATCTAAATCTCAAATCTAAATCTCAAAACTAAATCTAATCTAAATCTAACTCTCAAATCTAAATCTAAATGTTAAATCGGAATCTAAATCTCAATCAAAATGTCAAAGTTAAATCAAAAAGTTACATTTGACATGTAACAAGTTAGCACCAGTAGCTTTAGATTAGTTGATCAGCACACTTACAAAACTACAGATTTCACTCACATTTCAGGTACGAATGACACTTTATGTTTGACTCTGTTAAATAAAAACACGTAGATTGTCATGAGACATATAAATGAGTCAGTATGAGTAAATCAGTGGAAGTAGAGTAAAGCTGTAGAGTGAAAGCTTGGAGGCGCTTGTGCTCGCGGGCTGCAGTGACAGCCTGAGCTCTCCTGCAGAGTCTCAGCGGGTGTAAAGTTACGAGCGCACAGGACACACCTCCAGAGGGAGTTCCTCTCCGGCTGGAGGTGGAAACAAGGAGCTGATCACTTCTCCTGCTCCGAAGTCAGGAGGAGTCTTTCCTTCCACTTGGAGCGAGTGGTCCTCGGAGCCCGCGGCCGTGCGCCCCCTTTCTATCCCCCTCTCTCCAGCAGCCGAGGCCGTGCCAGCGAAAGGAGAAATGCCCGAGATGGGCAACTCTTTACGCGCGGCTGCGCTCCTGGCGTTCGTGGTGCTCTCGATCCTCGTGTCGTTGCTGGTCAGCAGCGTGCAGCAGTTTGGAGCGAGAGTAACGCACTTTTCTAACGCGACTGTCTCTGCTGCTGATGAGGAGCAGCTCCGCGGGGCGTTGATTTACCAGCTCCAACAGAGGCGCCAGGAAATCATACCGCTGCTTATACCTGAGGATGAACTATCTGAGGGAACTCGACTCTCTCCCCAGCTGGACTCCTCTGTGGATTATGATCTGTGGAATGAGATCACGCACGGCTCCAGGAAAGCGCATATGGATGAAATGGGCTGTGACTCCCTGGTGGACATGCAGGCTGTGGAGGTCCTGGGCTCTGGATACACCAAACTGGTTGTCAAAGTGAACCTGGCTGGAGGTCAGCCAGTGGCTTTAAAACTTGTCAACGAGCAGGGAATAGACATGGGGAAGTGTGTGGAGGATTTTAAAGACCCGCAAGGCTGCCGGGAGCTCGTCTCCTACAAACTGCAGAAAGAAATAGTCCTGTTGCAGAGGCTGCAGCATCCAAACGTCATAAAGGTGAAGTGTGACCTTTGTTTTTCTTGTTTGCATCAGTTCAAATACTTAAATTATCCAATAAACTGTTACATTTGAGTCCAAACAATGTCGAAGAGAATGTATGTTATTTTAAAGTGAGGTCAACCAGTGGCCTTAAGAGTGGTCAGCAAGCAGAAGATAGACATGGGGAAGTGTGTGGAGGATTTAAAATACTTTATGAGCTCTTAAAGAAATAATGTTACAGAGGCTGCAGCATCCAAACGTCATATAGGTGTTTTTCCATGTGTGCATCAGTTTAAATACTTATATTATCCATTGACTTGTGAAGTTAGAGTTAAAAAACGAAACCACATTCTAAAGAATATATTTCATTGCAAGGCTGAGGAATGTGTGGGACGTCAGGAGCTCCTGGCCACTGCTCAACACTGGAAATACTGATGGAATATTATTAAGACTTTCCATAATCCACGCACCACTGCTCACATTTTCCTTTGTCTCACACACCACGAAGTCAAAGAAAGGCCTCATTGGCTTTGCAGGACTTTCCCATGTAATTAAATTAAATTCACTGACCCCACTCTGACCTCTGGGTCCAGTTTGGCGAGAGC